TTCTCATATAATCCAAGCATAAAATATTCTGCTCCTCTATATCTCGATTCAAGTGCATCGTTTGTGTCAATCTCTAACAGTCTGTTGAGTCTCTGTTGTCGAGACATTGTTGCCAACAACTTGTGAGTTGGTGAAGTGCGAAGGCGTGCGATAACAGATGGCACTTGCAACTACTGTATTTTACTCTCCAGCGTTGTCGCAAGTATTGTCGTACGGTTACGCCCAGTCCCACGTTCTATGGTGCCTCCGATGCAGTGTAACGGAAACCAGCCCAATAAAATCCAATAATTTAATATTTATATTGTGACATACCCAAATTATTGTAAATTCGCATTGATAGTATAACATGTAGAGAAAGTTTCCTCACCATCACTCGACATTTACACAGGATATCACCCTAAACCTTCCAAATATGCAGACACTTATAAGGGGACCCTTCCGCCAGCTGTTGAAATAATTACTTAACTTTTACAGTATTAAAAGTTTAAAAATGTCAAGAAATAAAAGAGCAAGTTACGATGCCAAGTATACGGGCCAGTACCAGGTCGCGATGGCAAGAGCTGGCGCCAAATGCATGTAGACTAGCCTATCGCTTGGAATATGTAGAGACTTGACACAGAATATTCAACCTAAACCTCCCAAACGTATAGAGGCTTGTAGTAAGACCCCTTCTGCCATCTATTGAAATAAAATGCTCAGTATCCTTTGATAACGCACACAGAAATCTTCTAGCCCATGTATTGTCCAGAGTATTCCAATTATCATGTGACAATAAATTGACAAGAGTAGCGTGGTTTTGAGTCAAAAAATCAGCATACGACCAGCTTTGGGAATCATTTTCTCTCAAATACGTTGATAGGACTACTGAAAGCAAGTTTGATTAGTACTTCAAAGGCAAACATACTCGGTCATATAGCCAGGAAACAAGGTTTGAACTTCAGTATTAGACATCTTGAAAAATAAAAGATTATGACTTTGGAAAATTTCTATGAGTCGCGCCGTGTGGATTTTATGTCGCTGAATAAAAAAAAAAATTAATTTGTGGTACGCAAGGCGTGGGTTACGATGTAAGGGCTAGCACCAAATGCGTGTAGAAATTTGTAAAAACCTCCCTTTCGCCAGCAATTAAAATAAATCACTAATCTTCCCATCGCCACCAGAAATTTTCTAAACCCATGGGCTATGTGGAGTATTTTATTTGTCATTATATGACAGTAAATTGATAAAATTAGCACAGGTTTGAGTCAAAAAATCAGCATACGACAACTTTGGGGAGGGAATTATTTTCTCTCAAATATGTTGATAGAATTACTGAAAGCAACTTTAGCAAACACAAAAAGAATAAATCATTTTCATTAATATACTTGTATAATCAGGATACAAGTTTGGAACCTCAGTATTGGACATCTTGCAAAATAAAAAGTTATGACTGAATTTTAATTACAATCGATAGTAAATATTGATAAAAGTAACAATGATCCAATGCCATGTGGTATTTTATGTCACATGATTTCGGCGCTAAAAATTGATTATCAGCCGATGATATGTTTGTAGCGTGACCGTATTCAGTCCAGAGAATCTCTTCAGATTCGAACTTTGCTCAGCGTGTGAACACTGTTCGGAGTTCAACCAAATTGGCCTCATTGCCTGTTTATTGCAATCTAAGCTTGTTGTCGCGACTAAGCCGATAGTATTACTCTAAGTCCGACTCATGTTATCGGATTATTAATAGTGATAAATTTGGCTATGAAAGCAACCTTCCCCGGGTGGCAACGCTCAGCTTTACGCTCAAAAGTTTGAATGCGATGAGTTTTAACTCTTTGTCACCAATAATTGTTGAAATGAAATCCGCTTGTAAATAAACATGATCTACCTTGCATAACGTCCCTGAAAATCGGCGATCGACATCAATATACAGATTTAACGCATCGTTAGAAATTAAAAATGCTCAAATATTATTAAAAAAAGTCGCTTGTCATTGTTCGCTTCATGTTCCAAGCACACCCACATGTTTTAGCAACTCTTGTTGCTTGGAGAAATGAACGAGCAGTTCTAAGCCATTTGCTTCGATGTTAAAATTTAAAATGTTTATTAACGTTCTACTTTGTCATTTGTCTGATGTTAAATTTAGAATAACCAATCATCTTTTAGCCATCACATGTAACACATAGTACGAATTACATGGAAAATAGCAATGCATTTATGGAGGTTGTATGTATTTACCGAGCTGGGAATAAGGTCAGTCGTGCATTTACAGAGAGTATGCATTTGTAGAGGGTTGACTGTAATTATCGAATGTACAACAATGCGGTCAAAGGAAATTTTTTATTTTTTTTGAACGGCCAACAATGTAAATATCTCCATAAATGGATAACTTTCTAACCATTTTCGCGTTGAGCGGGAGTCTAACGTATTTGCCTCTGACATTTGCACTAATACTAACGTGTGTTTCCCACAGAAACAACAGCTTGTCCGTTTTCGGGCTTGATTTAATTCACATAATAATAATCATAATAATAAACGAACATAGCAAGCAAAGCCTATTTACGCGTAGCAGCTTCGAAATAGGAAATAATTTCGCAGCCTTCATGAAAACAGTAGACCGTCTTGGCAAGTTATCCGACTGGTCTTACCATATTGGTTCTAATACCAACACGTATTGGATTAGAGTCATTCATACAGCAGGCAATATACAGATATACGGTTCACACACTCTTTGTCATAAATGAGTCCCTAGTGATAATATTTCTCACAAAACCGCTTGAAGCTCAAATACATAGCGCCTTCTGTTTACACCATGCATTAATTTACTTTAAAATGTCTGATTTATACAAAGTAAATGCAGTGATATGCAGCAAGATTAAGAATAATGAAATTATACAAGAGAATTATGAAATCTATACAAACCATCTACTAAATAATGCTGTATAATAATACTAAATACTTCTAAGTGAGATAAATGCATTCCCAAACGTGTGACTATATTAAACTCCTAAAGCTGACCCACACCACCAAAAGAATATACATCCTCGCCTTTCTGCTCATTCAACACGCCAGACTTGTGGCACTTATCAGAATATCCAGGATTTCCCTCTTCTCACTGCGAGTAAGCCATAAGAGCGGAGGTAAGATGTCATGAGTACGATGATATCTATCCCGCACATATGGTGCAAGAGTACGAGCTGCAAACGTGCGCTCGGTCGGAAAAGAGAGAAGAGCAAGTATGCGGCCTTTATGAAAGATTATATAGAGTTAGCATGCATGTGTTTTGAAATGGGATTGAACAAAAAAAAACGCGATCAAAAGTATAGCACCACTTCTCTTATTATTCGTATACGTACGTACCCAATTGATCGCAAGTTATCACATAATTAGGTACCAAGTTCTCTACAATAGCTACAATAATGGGAAAACTTAACCGTACATTACCAACACAACAAAATGACTCGAGTTGCTCAAATTACCTTCCCTCTCCAGCGAAGACCCGGCTTCCTGAAGACTAGCTACTAGTTGCATAAACTTATCCCGTGAGAGTGATGGCTTTGGTGGTGGTGCTAAAAACCAGATTTATAGGCCTCAGTCAACGGCCTATACATTGGTTACAAAAACATATGCTAGCATAATATTGCTACGTCGTGCGTATCTGCACCATTCCTCACCTAATATTTTTGCCAATATTCCATCAGTCTTGCCGTTTATTCGGCATCGCCCCGATAATTTTCTTGATATCAACTCCTTAGCCTGCGGCTGCGAATGTATTGATGTTGGCTTGCACCGTGACGTAAATGACGGCGTGGTACGTAAGGATATCGAGCGGGATGAGAGTGAGAGTTCTTCTTTTGTTTCCTGTTGTTGCATTTCTTTAAAAGTGAATGATTTATACAGAATGCATACACATATACATAAGGAGGACAGGTGTAAGAAAGGAAAAAAAACTAACGACTTCACGAAAGGGTACAGACTGTCTCTGAAATTACCTTTGATCTTCTTCCATAACTGATCTTGCCTCCTAAACAGTTCGTCGATTTTATCCTCCTCGCATTTTGCGTCATCCCCGTTTGGTTTATCGTTCGGCATTACGCTCTCTTCCTTTTTCGTTTCAAACTTGTCATCCCCATCATCTCTTGTACTTTTATTCTCACTCACTTCCCTGTCTCTTTCACCAAAATATTGATTATCTTTTTCTTTTTCCCCAGGAGAAGTAACCACAAACAACACAGGCTTGTTACCCTGCCCACATAGATCGATCGCGGGTTCGGTCGCTGTTATGACATGTCCTTGTACGGCGGAAGTCATGACAACGGTGGTAGAAGTAGTTGTTTAATATATGCTATGTCGTTTCCGGTATCCCTTGTGTCGAGAGGTATGTATAGAAGAGAGAGTGTATTGAGTGAAGGTGTTTGATTTGTAAACCGCAGATGAAAGTTTGACACAGGTTAAATAGTAACACTTATGGATTGAGTAATAATGAAGAAATGTTTGATAATCAAATAAAGTATAGTAATGTTGACGTCATTAATGGATCAAAGTTTAAAATTTTAGTTTTCGCTTTTTTGCAATCGTGGAAACGGACTACACGTCCGGATAATGCCTATTAATTACGTTTCTCTTGCAGTCAATGTCCTCTGGTATATAATACTGATGGTCAGTAAGGCAGCGTTGGCAAGCATTCAATGTTTTCTCAATCCCGACGACAGCTTACTTAATGTAACACATAATTCGAATGATATATGAAACAATGGAACCAATGATAATAAATATTGTTCATTTAAAGAATATTGTACTGTTAACCTGTCAACAGAAATATATTGGCACAGTATACTAACATATACTTTTTAATATAATCTGCTTGAGGTGTCATACGGACAGTCGAATTATGAATTATTTGCGTAGATTGAATAGCCGATAGAATATGGTGTCATATTCCAGATGATTATGTAATGTTATGCTTTCCCCCACCCTTTTCGTCCCTATAACAATAATACCAATAATCTGCATAAGTAGATTATGTAAAAAGTCACATTCTATCGTCACACCAAAATGAATATTTTGTACTTGACGAGAACGGTTATACTGTACATAAGAAACCACCGTTAAAATAATTCGAAAAAAAAATTCAATCGTGCCCACAATGAAATTTGGTAGAATAATAATATCTACGCCGAAATTTTGTCCATGTCATTTTTTGTTTTAGTTTAAAAATATAAAATTACCTGGTTAAAAAAAAGTGTAGCAGGATTAAGGGCTTTCAGGCAGTTGTTTTTAGTATATAATACAAGGACTATCATAAGTCTTTTGAAAGTTGTAGTTTGTGTGGGTGGAAAGGATTACAAAAATGTACAAATGTAGGAGGAGACTATTTTAAAAGAATAGTTTAGTCAGTTCTAAAATTACTATGCAATTTTTTGAAATAAAGTAACCCCCCACATAATAATAATGTCTGTTATAATTTTGTTGCATCACCACTGAGCCCAAGACCAGATTTCAAAAATTTCTCATCATTGAGTGCATTTTTTTATTCTTGAAGCAGAGAATATTCGATGTTACATACTGGGCTTGTTAGTAAATTTAAGGCTTAAAATGAATTCCTTGTATCATGATAATCTTTATTGTGTTCTATTTTACATTAGTCAAACGTTCTATTAGCGAGATATACATTTGTTTAATTATTGTATGCCACTCGGTGAAATAATTGTCTGGCATAACGCATGATTCTGAAGTGCAATAAACGATTGGTGGTCAAGTCATCACCAGCGACAAGTAAAATTTTTTAGTCAATGTTTACTGACATTCAAAATATTCGCTACTTGAAGAATAAAAAATACGCTCGATATTATCATAAAGAGACATGCACGAAAAGTTAAGTTTTTAGAAGAGCGTATTAACCATATTCTAATAAATATCAAGCCAAACTTTATCTCACTGATTTACAGTTAGTATTGGTGAAATGTACTATATCGTTGACATATTAGTCGTCAACCCCAATCGATAAGCCTAAAGTAAAAAGTTCTTCTGTCACAGCTTTAATATTAGATTCTCATTTACTATAACAATATATTATAAAAAGTATGGACAGAAATTTTTGCAATTTACAAATTGTTTGCAGTATATCAATGTCCAGTTAAAAGTAACAATTCGTATCTTCTTATTTCGGTAATAATATTATGCAGAGAATTACAATTTGCAATTGTTACGAATGCGCTATCAACACGATTAAACTGTAAATTTTGTTACATTGAGCCTGTTAGATATTTGCATAAAATGTGCCTCGACAAATTTTCGTCACGCACGATCCATCGTTGACAATTGGGTCTAGTAAGTTGGGTTATGAGTAAGGTCAGGTTGGCTTCAATTACAGAATTACTGAAAAAACGCATATACTTTTCCGTTATACCCGTAAGGCAATGAAGCTGCGCTGTCGCAGAGGATAGCAGTTTTCCTAATATCAAGTAGAAGTGTTCGTTTGAATGTACAGTTCGATGTCATTCTAATTTCATACGCTTGATAATAAATGCGCAGCAATCGTTTATTTTTCAGCAGGTTGATATTACTCGGTGATGGTGATTCGGCGGTTACTGATTATTATTATCATTATGACGGTAACGTCCATAAATCTGCATATTTAAATCCATTTAAACAACTTAGTCGATTATTATAAAAATTATTCAGAGCCACACGCAAAACTTTTCAGGCCCCTCCCCCCCACACGTATCATGTAATTCGTTTCCAAAGCAAGCACAATGCCAAGTTATATTGCTTTTTAGAAAACAATTGTATATTCTGACTAATCAACATTTTGTACGGTTGTTTCTTACACTATATTCTTTAGCTAGTTTCAAGTCAAATAACTGAAGGTTTTGGTTTTGCTGACATTTCTGTTCGGTACTCAACGTAACATGAAGCTTTTTCTTTCGATATCAAGGCGTTTAATAACGTATGATAGAAAATTTTTATTTTACGTATATTTTGACGTTGGTTGCTTACGCAATGCATCCCGCGTGACTTGTTCGTTTATTATAATAGCGCGCTTCGTTTTTCTTTTGCGTCTTGCGTTTTACAAACATGATTAGTACAACCGACCACTTTACGAAACACAATACAACCGACTACTTCACGAAACACAAAATTGACGGTTTATATCCTATTACTATATTAATATGTGTTTTTGTGCATCTTGGTTTATATATATAGTGTATTTATACATTCTCACTCTTTTTTTTATTCGGCGGCGCCCCAGATGTCCAATCGCACAGAATTAGAGGTATGTACGACAGAGGAAAAGCTCATGCAAGTTGGCATGGGACTGGGACCGGCATTTATAACTGCTGATTATGTCCAAGAATTAAAAGGTATGTAGTTCTTGGTGAGATTGTACTGGTTTATTGCCATAACACTGTTGATTAACTCCTGTTAATTGGTGGTATCAGCATCAGAGTCAATGCCTTCTGTGAAGAAAATCTGCATAGAAACTTTGTCATCCATCCTAGAAGGGCGGAAACTAAACCCACAGGGCAATCTACTAAAGTTTTCACACAAGTTTTATGATCATCAAAGATTTATCATAATCAAGGAGATTATATCTGTTGTGGGCTCAAACTACTATAACCATGGGAATCCTGATCATAAAGTCCATACTATGATATTGGCTCCTGGTTATGGTGGATCAGGGATTGGTAAATCATGTTCAGGATGGGAATTACAACACCTGGTCACCCATGCAGACAACTTTGGGTTCAAATTCAACATTCATGATGCTAAAATTGGCTTATTCTGGAAAGTGCTCCAAAATCCCCTGCTATCTCTATATTGAACTTTGGAATGAAGCCTGTGTCATGCAATGCAATATTTACATGTGGCTGCTCCAAGATCAACTTACACAGTTCTGTTGAAGAACTTTCAATATTATTGTCTAAAGATAAACTACCATAATAATAATGCTTCATTACAGATTGTTTTGCAATCATTTGTTTCTCATCTGTAATTTGTCATGAAAATTCATGTTTGTCATAAAACATTTCTTTTGCTGAGACTTCATCCAAAGGCTTGAGTAAAATTGTTCATTTGGAATGATCTGTAGGTAAAAAGTGCACATTGATGGCTGAAGTCCCAGTACATATTGGAATAATAAAGTACTGTTTGTTGGTATAATCATCTATACCAATATTTTTCTTGGATACTGGATCCCCAATCGGATCATCTACGAATTCTGTTGCATTTGTTGACATTATTTCTTTTTGATCCAGTATGTCATAATGGTTCCAAACACATACTCAATGAGTTTAATATTAAATGGTGTTGACACCTCTTTCACATAATATTGCCAATTGCCTTTAGCATTTCCTTGAAGACTTTGCAGGCTTGAGGCCATGACCTGTTTGCTGTCTTAGTCTGGGTATCATGGATGTACATTTGATACTCATTGATATGGATTATAAGAATGTCCAGAGCCCAACCATTTTCCTTGGAGTGTCATTTAATGATCTCTTTTACCACCTCACATATGCTGAAAAGCTCAACAGGATAATTATCCATCATGCCAGTTATAGTCACATCAAGCAAACCTGATGCTATTACTATGGCTAGACATGCACCTATTTGCACATATTAATATGGATCATATTTTTCATCAAATCATTCAAAACAATTATATTCATTGTTAAAATCATTAATGATTTCTTGCAGCCTCCTGTGTCTGCAATTAACCTTGATTGGGGAGAGGCTCTTCTTGACTATTGACCACATGTTGCAGTGACCTATGGACTGGATTGCTAATGATAAATGAGACAAGCAGCTGGAAGTCTTTAGAAGGCATGCACATCACAATCTCATTTGGACTTACAAGATTGCCTATTATAATTACATGAAATTCATGTTACCAAGCAAGGTTTTTCTTGAAGTTGAGTGAGTTGGTTTAATCTACCTCTCAAGACCCTCCAACAGTGACAATTATGAGTTGTATATACTGTTATCAATCATGCCCTTTATGCTATAGCTATTGAAAATACTTAACAAAAAGCTCCAGTATACATTTGAGGGGCCTGTTATTCCAGATCATCTGCTGATCCCAAACAAAGATCATCCTTGGCTATGGCAAGAGCTTTGAAGTTCTTTATGGATATTACTATTACCAAAGAGTATTAATTGCAGCTTTAATCAATATTAAGGATGCAAAGATTCTGGCTTTAAAGGACAGTATTGGATGTTTATGATATTAATATTAAGCAGGAAATCAAGAAATTAGAAAGTGACCTCATCAATGAGAAACAAAAGAATTGGCACTTATCTGATGTCTTTTGTGGTGCAAAAGGTGATGCAGTTCTTCTTCACCATGAAATAAGATTGCACAAAGTACAAGTCTTTACTGAGAAAACAAGATTTCTTGAAGAAGTCACAGATATTGCACCTGTCAGCACCACAATATTATTATTATGTGATGATAATGTTACCTGAAGTCTCATAGTAATAAGTAATAGATGGTATTTACCATTGTGCTGATAACAATGCAAATATTGACATCACTGGGCTCTTAATATTAAATCTATTTCCGGAAAACCATTGGCAATTTTTATGCAGGACAAACATTCACTACTCAAAACAAAAAATTCAAAGGTTAACTACAATGAACTTAACAATTGGTACAAGATAACATTACAATCAGTCTCCAGATATCAAGAACAGTATGATGTGGTTCTTGTTTATTTTACAAATCAGGTTTATTCTGGAGTACATAATCTTTCAAAATGCCTAAGCTGCTACTTATTGATTCTATATTAATGTAAAAATAACATATTTTAGCCATACCGCAATGTTTTCACGGATTTCATCCTGTAGTCTTTCATAGATTTTATTAGTACTTTTTTAATTCAAAACGACACATTTTCGCCTAATTTGAAAACGTGCCCGGCTGACATGTTACATATATTGAGATTACATTGGTATTTTTTAACTCTAAACGACACATTTCCGCCTAAGACGTGCCTGGCTGAGATGTTACGCCTCTTTTATTCCCTTTTTAGAACAGAAAGTTGCAGACAATTTGTTTTGTCGTTGAACTATGAGTGAGAACAATTTTGGGTATTTGAAAGGAAGTAAACGTATACAGTTAACATACACATCTCTTTGCTAATAGTACTTGCTAATAATGTTTTGTTTTATTTGTGTATTTCTACAATTGAGCAAACAGTTGAACTACGTTCATTCTTAATGGGGTGGGTGGGCAAAGTCTACTTTTTTTTGTCAACGGCAATCTACATTTTTTCGTTCCCATTTATTTCAATTGAGTGCGTTTTACAACAAAAGCTTTGAACGATTACAGCTTTTCGATCGAAACTTTGTTATAAAATACACCATCATGTATCTAGCATCGAAGCGACTATTTTTCCTTGTTGCTTTCTACTATCACAACCGATCTGTACGATTAACTTTTTAATAATTGTCGGAACAATTTAGTATAGCATTATTA